GAACTATTACAATCAGTATATATAAAGTTGCATATAACTTATAACCGAAAATTAATTTATGAATGATCCATAAACTGCTTAAATCTGCATTTAAATTATTCTTATTGTGTTTAGCACATTTTGTTTTCGTTCTATTCACAATAAATTAATTTTAAGCGAAATATAAGAGTTACCACGTGCCGAGCCATTTTAGTAGGGGGTTCAACTGGAATTCAGGGCCGGATTGTTCCAAGTCCGACTAAGCTAACCCAGGATTAGCAAGAATTTTGATTTCAGTTTTGTAACTTTTTGGTGAGGTTTTCTATATATATTGTTTGTCTTTCAGTTTTGATCTTTGGTCTCAAATTACACAAAAACATGAGCGGGGGAAAACTAATACTTCGGTTAACTTTTAATCCTGGGTTAAGCCTCGTTTTCACTAGCGACGCAAGCACAAGCGCAAGAAAAATAACTGTATTCTATGCAACCATTAAAAGCTTATTTCTTTGTTTTAGAAAAAGTGGTCAGGGCGGCAAAGGTTCGGCCGTCAGTTTTTACTGCAGACACAAGTGCACAGGACTTCGATGGCGACAAAACTAATTCCGCTAAACAAACAACAGATTCGAAGTGTCAAGACCAAACTATAACTGTTGATCTTTCGGGTGAGTTTCAGGAAGTTTTAGACGAGCTGTTAGGACGCGTAAAACCGCTCCTGTCCAGGCTTCAAGGAAATGGAGTTATTCTACAGACCAAGACGTTATCAAACTTAAATCCAGACTATACCAGATTCGTTTTGAAACAAGCCCAAATGTCTGTAAAGGAAGGAGATGCTGACAGCAAGGAAAGTCAGATTTATCGTCTAACTGTGTGCTTGCATGCACTGGTCTCATCTGTTGATATTCTGATGCAAAGTGGTCTGGAAGCCGTACTAGGTAAGGTGTAGCTTCACACGAGGAGCTATGCTCTGTTCTTATTGACAGTCAAACCTCTATGAGTTAAGATTGTAAACTGCTCTCGGGTGGAAAAGCTAATTTAAGCGAAAGCTTGCAATACTAACCAGCTCCCATTAGTAAATATCTTTGTTTAGTAGAAAAGTCGTGATGATCTCTGATAATGTAGCCGCACGGCGTTGGTCTAATAGTGAAGTCTTGGAAACCACTGAGTTGCTATACTAAACGACCAGAACTATCATTTTTTATTTGTGCCAATTTGGATTTTTGGGCTCTTCTGTTCCTTTATAAACATTTGAACAATCTTCACTTTGTACCTTAGCTTTTTTCTGAGCAGCGAAATTTATCTCTCTGCATTCCAGCAAGGTAAATTTCCACTGTTAATTATCTCAACTTAAATTGATCATGGTTATCTACATCTATTTTAATTAACCGTGCTAACACCTTATGAAATAGGTATATAATTGTGAATGAATGAATGAATGAATGAATGAAAGACTTAATTTAAGTGTCACAGAGTATTTAGCTTAAAAAAAACTAACTGTGGACACTATTTACAGATTCAGATTGTCAGATTCGGATTCACATTTAAAATAGCAAGTACATCGCCATGAAGGCGAATATGTCTCTTCTACATGCCGTGTAGTTTTGTGGTGCTATTAGCATAGGAAGAAACTACATGGGTACTTACAGTCAATATAGTCGATTTACTAATTTTTATGCATTCTTCTTTTCAGCCTACTTAAGTTCAACCCAGGAGAGGTATGACCACTTGTTAGAAGGAGCACTGGATTCAACACGTAGATATCTCTTGGAAACACATTTTACGTTTCAGCAGCAAAAGATTCTTCATCCCAAGCTTTCAAAACTACTCAACATTGTAGGAAGATGGAGCAAAGAACAAGAGACAAGAAACGTAAACTCCGCTATCATCACCTACACTTTCCCTGAGAAGATAAACAAAGAAATCATGGACACACTGTCGGGGCTACACGGCATTCAGGCCACGTTATACAAGTCAGCCATGAAAGTGAATACAATTGAAGAGGAAGGCCCAAACGTAGCTGTTTACGTCGTTAATGGTTTAGCTATAACTGAGGACTTTCCATGGGCTAGATTTGACCTTGTGTTGGAATATGACCTGAGTGGAGAGATGAAAAGAGAGGAGCTTTCTCGCAGCACCAGACTAAGAGCACATATTAGCCTGAAGACACTAGCAAAGGCTCTCCTGGATAAACAACCGGTCGAATGCAAAGGTTGGTGAAAGTTTTTTCTCATTTTTTGCAGCTGTTTACTCCTTCTGAGACTATCCAAGCTTCTTCCTGTTACTTACACTCTGTACTGAATGTATAAGAAGAGTCGCAAACTATTCGAAGGCTACCCTACGTTTCTGAAATTTTAATGATTTAAATGAACTTTAAAATGTAACAATGGTAGAAAAACTTGAAGAAATACAACAAAACCGAAAGGAGAAGAGATAAATGCATTGGGCCAACAGCATAAAAGTAATCTGCGTTCGTTATGTCTACAAGATTTCAATAACAAATTAAGAATATCATTGACATTTTTAG